CATATGCCAGCCGCCTCCTATCCGCCCCTGAACGTAACTATTCGATAACAGAGCGTGAGTGCTTAGCTCTTGTATGGGCGGTGGCGAAATTTCGACCTTATCTATACGGACGCCCATTTTCGGTAGTTACCGACCACCACGCACTCTGCTGGCTGAACTCTCTGAAAGATCCATCAGGCCGCCTTGGACGCTGGGCTTTGCGCCTGCAAGAGTTTTCCTATTCGGTGGTCTACAAATCTGGCCACCTACACCGTGATGCCGATTGCCTCTCCCGGTACCCTGTCGACGATCCTGAGGACACCGACGAGCCCACGGAGAACTCTATCTTGTCAGTGTCCGACTTCCTTAATATTGGGGAAGAACAGAAGCGTGATCCAGAGCTGCTTGACATCATCAGCCGTATGGAATCCTCCACAAATGATGCTTCCGTCCGCTACTTTGTCATTCAAAAGGGTGTGCTATACCGTCGCAATTTCCGACTAGACGGGCCCGACCTTCTCATTGTTGTGCCTAAGCATTTGCGCCGCTGTGTTCTCACCGAACTTCACGACGCTCCCACGGCTGGACACCTTGGCGTATCCCGCACGTACGAGCGCGTCCGGCGCCGTTTTTTCTGGCCAGGCCTTTCTCGTTCGGTACGCCGATACGTCGCCACATGTGACCTATGCCAACGTCGTAAGACACCATCGCTGCTACCCGCTGGCCATCTTCAACCAATTGACATACCCGCGGAACCATTTTACCGTGTTGGGTTAGACCTGCTTGGTCCTTTTCCCACATCAACATTGGGAAACAAATGGATAGCCGTTATCACAGACTACGCTACACGCTACGCTATTACGCGAGCTCTACCGACCAGCTGTGCAACCGACGTCGCTGACTTCTTGTTACGGGACGTTATATTGATTCACGGTGCGCCGAGACAGCTTCTCACAGACCGTGGCCGTACATTTTTATCCCAAGTCATCACCGACATTCTGCGTTCTTGTTCGACGCAACACACACTGACAACCGCTTACCACCCTCAAACAAACGGCCTTACGGAACGATTTAACCGCACTTTAACAAATATGCTCGCTATGTACGTGTCGCCCGACCACCGAGACTGGGACCTTGCCTTACCCTACGCAACTTTCGCGTATAATTCATCCCGTCACGACACAGCGGGCTTTTCGCCGTTCTACTTATTGTACGGAAGGGAGCCGACTTTACCACTGGACACAGTCATCTCAGCTCACACCTCGTCCACCAGCGAGTATGCCCGCGACGCGATTGCGCGAGCCGATCATGCCCGTCAGCTCGCTCGCGCTCGGCTGATGGCGTCGCAAACCAACCAATGCCGTCGGTACGATGCGGAACATAGAGACGTACATTTCGCTCCCGGTACCCTCGTTTTACTCTGGTCCCCTCATCGTCGGCTGGGCCTATCCGAAAAACTTCTGTCTCATTACACGGGACCCTATCGTATATTGCGTCAAGTAACACCTGTCACCTACGAGATCAGCCCCATCTGCCCATCATCATCTACTATGCGGCCCAGTGATATCGTACACGTCTCGCGGATCAAGCCCTACAATAATGCGTCAGATAACGACCTTTAAAGCACCGGGACGGTGCCTCCGCCGCCGGGGGTCATGCTACGTGCCAGTGCATGGAGCTGAAGAAGACGAAGCAGATAGACTGGCACGAGCTAATCTGTGTGGCTGGCGCTGCTCGCCTAACCGTCTGTAAATACATCGGTGACTACCCCTCTGAGTCAGTCTCCTTCACGTAACAATACGTATATATAAATACGTGTATATATATATATATATATATATATATATATATATATATATATATATATATATATATATATATGGTGAGCGATGGCGACGCCAACGCCGGCGGCAAAATCCAGTTGAGAGTGTCTATATAATTGCGGTCGCAATAAAAAATACTTTTCGGCAACGATAGCAAAGCATTGCTCGGATCTTTTTTTTTTTGTTGTTTAGTGGGGAGACTCTTGAAAGACGACAGGAATGAGGAGAATTTATGTGCTTAGTTTTCATTATGCTTCCAGATGCGGGGAAGGAGGGGTAAATTAGGCAGGCAAACGTAAGTTATCGTAGACAAGAACCACGCACGAATATAGTATATCATACCCTTTGCCGGAAATGCCAAATAAAAGCAACCGCAGTGGTGAAACAAAGTCATATTTTCTATGCACTGAACGTTTATACCACTCACTCTAAGGATCACTACGCCAGGTAGGTGCCAGGTGGCTGAAATGGCCTGCATTTTTTGCCGAAATTAGTGCACCTGAGAAAATTTCGAGGCAGGCTAGGCATTTTGACGCAATTTCAGCGAATGTCACAGTTTTGGCTCGGTGCAACAATTGAGAATTGTATCAAATTGGCACAGTTGGCCCAGCTGTTGCACCCCTGGTTAATGTGCTAATGACTTGCTTAGAGAGCACGTCTTGTCTTCAAAGGCTGGAGTAAATAGTATGCATCTATGAGCACACATAGAAGATTAAGGCCGTGTGTCACTTTTTCACAATGCAACAATGTACACAAGTCCGGTGAAACCCTGGCGAGAAAAATAATAAAAGGGGCCCTGAAAGACTATCAAGTAACCATGGAATGAATTCACTAATGGCGTATTCAGTTGGGCGTTTTCGAGCACTCTGGAGGGCTCTGAAAAGTAGCTGCACCTTCGGTTGGTAGAATTGGAGCGCTCGAACTACCTCAGTTGATTCTTTTAGAGTGTCAGCCTCTGACTCAGAGCGCTTCCAACCGCTCTGACTTCGAAGTGAGAGCGAGGCACGATCTGACCTGAGAGGACAGATCACGTGACACAAGCCGGCCAATCCCGCGGCTGCCCGCAAGGTGAACCAGGTGAGGAGCGCGAGTGTGCATTTCAGAAGGGGGCATTGCCGGGCGCGTAGTACTTCGTGCATGTGGGTTGTTAGTGGCGTTTTTGAGCATGTGTGTGCGAATTCCCATCTACGAAGCCATCAATGCACCATGTCAATTGATCAGACGGCTTGCCGAAGGCGGTGGAAATGTCAATGCTGTCATTACAGTAGCTTGCAGACAGCCATGTGATTTGCTTTGAAGATAGCAGCTCGGGCAAGTACGATCGCCAGACTTATGTGCTAATTTCAAAAGGCTTTCGCTACATCTAGACATGTCAGAGAGAGCGAAAGAAAGAATGTAGGAAAGGTCAAACATTTCAGAGATATCTACTGAACTGACCGGCATCATTTGTTGATGCGGCACAGGTGCAGCACCCTTTACCCGGCAGCATTCCGCGCTGCATGGTGGCGCTACAGGCATGCTGCTCTGGGCGCTCTGAGATTGCCGAAGTATTCGGTCGGTACGCTGCCTCTCGGACTCCGATTTCGAGCTGCCTCTGCATCAGGTGACTCTCAGCCAGAGCACCAGAGCGGCTAACCGAATACATCATAACAGAGCTTATCGCCTCACGAATTCAATGCAGCAAAAGTTTAAGAATCCACCCAGTACGAGTGGAGTTACAAAGAATTGTCACATGCTACAATCGAGTTCTTTCTTTTCTCGTCCAGACAAAAGCGCTGGATGCTAAGCAGGGACGAATTGCAGGGGCAAAGAAAATACATTACCTGTGCCTCATGACCTTGAGCACTTTTTTTTTTCCAATGTGAGGCTTTTTCCGTGTGATCGAGCGTGCACGAGTGGACAAGTCGAGGCCTCCCGCGGCAATCTCTGTAACGACTGAGTGCGCTATGTTCAAATCAGCCAATGGCTGATAGATGGCCTTTTACGCGCAATTTTTGAGCATCTCCGCTCATTCCTGAAGAGTAGAGAAAGCAATCTTTAGCCGACTTTCATAATTTATATTGAATTCACAGCCGCGTGCTGCACTATATTATTTGGCTCGCAAGTTTTTGGGAGCTTCTACTGTCGATAGAAGTGTTTTCTGACCATGCTCAAAAAGTGTTGAAGGACCCCTTAAAACTGACAAAATATGCGCGGTATCAGACATGTTTATCGGTATACCATCTGTAGTGCTGACAGATAAAATATGCTGCGAACTTACTAGGCATTAGTATGTTTGAAACCTTTGAGCGTGTTTGCTAAGGAGCTTTGTTTGTGACACTTTGATTTTTGTGCTACGATATATATATATATATATATAGACAAATACATGAGAGAAGATGGAACAAACTAAGGGAGCATTCCTGAACCATATCACAGTATCGTCAATGTATCCAAAAACTAAATCTAAAAATAGTGGCTACCATTCATGCCACTGCCGAAAATGCACATGTGAGCCAATATTTTGGGAAGCCAAGATTCTCGGCAGAAGTTGACACAAGTCAGCTCCGTAACTCTGGGAGGCGTAGCATATATTAGAAGTATGAACTGACTGTGTTATCAACATGTCCATCTGCCTGCATAAGAGGAAGGTTAGGTTTTTGATGCAACATGCCTGATCAGTAGTGTTGCCTTGATATGCATCACATATGCACAACTGTGCTATATATTTCGTAGCAAGCTATGCAATAAACCAGTCATTAGAAAGTGCCTGTCCTGTCTTCTCTCATGTGTGTATTTCATAGCACAAAAATGAAGATATCTACTCATCAACTCATTCAAAAACAAGTTCTTAAGTAGTTCTGACATACGTCTGAAACTTTTGGGTGTGATTGCATATGAGCCTTGTTTATGACATCCCATATACCGCCCTACAATTTCTTGGAAGCCTTTCAGTGGCAAGAGAGCCCTGTCCTGTTATGTTTTTTCCTACATAGTTATCCACTCGACGACCTTACAATGACATTATTGAACACTCAGCACAACATCAAAATTTATTAAAGTCAACTAGCCAAAGTTGCAGCTCTATTCATGACTGAAAGACAATTGCTTATTATCAAGTGAATGAAAAGCTTCACCGCGTGACATGAGCAAGTGTGGATGTGACTACAACATGCGCGAATTTACATATCTCAGTGAAGTGCAATAAATGGGGCTCACAATGGGAACCAAGCGTGTGAGCTGGGCCACGGTGGTGCGCAGGCTGTCCGTCTCCGTCACATTCTCCCGAGGACGTAGTCGCTGCACAACAAAACAATAACGCAAGGTTAGTGCCGACGTCATTAAGACACATCTTATCCCTAATGTGCTATGTGCACATATCTTTGGACAGAATATCCCTCTACTTATAATTCAAGGACAACTCAAGGATTCTGAGGGCCAAGATTCACGAAGGAGCAAAACAGACATTGTTTATGTAGTTTGTAAATAAGTTTCTTGGATATAACAAACTCAAAGGCGATCACAATAGTTCAGTATATCGATAATTCACAACACAAAATACACATATTTAATGCATTTCAGGCCTTGGAAATCGTTACAATCACAGGAATAGAAGTGGATTTCAGTGTTTTAGAGCAGCTGAGGGAGTAGGAACAATGCTGTTTTGGAGCAGCTTTGGCGCAGTAAAAAAACGAGTTTTGGAGCACATTTGGAGCACCAAAGGTGTGTTTTGAAACAACCCAAATCAGTTTTCCAGTAGCTGTTCAGGGTCAAACATCATCATCAATCAAAATTATTGCTGGTCAGAAAATTCCAATAGTTTTCCCTAAACATTCAGTAACAATGAGTTTACCAGACTTACCACCTGCGCGCACGTGTGTGTGTATGTGTGTGCGCAATTGTATCTGTTGTAAAACATGCCCATTTTACAATCAGCCTGAAACGAAAAGAAAAATGTATTCTGGGTGTTAAAAGCATGAAACTATTTCTTTATGCAAACATATCTACTTCAGAATCTCGCCAGCCACCTCAGTGTTACACTTTTGATGTGTGAAACGAAGTATAGATAATTGGGACGTACTTCACTTGGCAGAAGTTTTTTATCCCAACGCATTAAACACTACTCTGCTCATCTGTGCTTGGTCTGGAGCATAGCGGGCATAAGCAATTCACACAGCAAATTTGTGCACACGGTACAACGAGCCGCCCGACAGCGACAGTGTAGGCAGCATAGGTGCCGCGCTGCACGGAACTAATCAGGAGATAATTCGTGTTCACGTAACCTCTTCGTGTCTCAGTGAAATTGTCAGTTGTCGCTTAGTATCATATCGCGGTATAGAAGCGCACACATATATCACAGAGAGCCGACAGTGTCCGTTCTGTCACTATTTCAGTCACTGCATATTCCGGATCAATAGTTTCTAATTGCTACTTGGCATCGCCACTGCGTGTGATAAAAAAAAATTAGCGAGAGCGCCAGCCACGCATGATCTTTACCGCACTCTGGCAAAAAAAAAAAAGACTTTCTGGCAGGTACTTCGGGCGACACCTGTTGTCGTACTGTATCCATTTATTGGTGGTAATGGGGCATATCAGAATATGCACATTTGCACTTGTAAATGCGTACTGTCTTCAGTGCATGATCAGGCAAGTTCCTGGCTGGTACAAATCATCGAGGTTTCAGTGTATTACAAGATAATTGACAGTTACTCATGTTGAGGCCACAACTTTTGCAGGGAAACCATGGCGATAGCAGCAATGAGAGCTCCACGGATGAACCGATTTACAACATGATCAAACTCCACTGATTGTGGATGCGGCCGTGTGCTTGGTGAAGCCAATGCTCAGTGTTGCTCGGTCGATGATAATAATCATCTAGATTCGGCGGTTTATACTTCTCATCGACAATCACACGGAAGTTGCAATTTATGCACTGCCTGGCACAGCAGGCCATATTGGCGCAGTATGGCGCTATTGGCCTGGTGTGCAACCAATGACAACGCTGCGAACTGCGCTTGTATGAGGTCAGTTCAAGAATTAACGCGCTTTCGAGGCGCTGCACTGTATAGAAACCACCGTCCAGGGAAAGCTCGACAAAGACGCAGTTCAATTAGTTATCTTGTGTGTGGTGACTATCAGCGCTGTTCTAACAACTATAGGTGCTACTTGTAACGCTCATTTTAAAAGCCCAGCTTTTTGTTTTTTAAAACTGTGACCGCTTGTCTCAGCAGCGAGTGGTGGGCAATGGTGGAGTACTGCTCTCTGCCTCTATATGATCACCCACCCGTGAAAAGGGCGATAGCTTTCACAGCTATCCTGAGGACCCAAAGCTGAGGAAGAAGTGAATAGTCAAACTCAGAGAGAGAAAGCCCCCTGCCCTTTTCAAACGTGGCCGGCAAGTACTTTGCTGACAGTGACTTTAGCTATATCGCCCTATGCTCCACTTTTTGGTAACCTTTCAACCGTGTTTCAGTGCCTCGCCAGCACTTCAGCCATTCATTACATGCAGGCTACAAGGGTATGCGACTTACACCAGGTGGAATGCTATCCCAAAACCTGCCGTGAAGGCCCCTGAACAGGAAGCCAACAACGCGGTCTCCAAATTGCCTCAGGTAAGCACACCTCGTGAGCGCAGCTGAGCGGCAAAGAACATCTGAGACTACAGCTTCATTTGGTTGCTGTACACACATGTATACGTAGTTTACTGATCAAGACGAGCGCACTTCTGGTGCACTGCTTACCCTAAAATCATAGGCGAAACCTGCCGTCCCTGTTTATAGCACATCCACTAAAGATTGTCGCATAATCTTTGTGGCCTTGTGCTCGGAATGTACAATCAGCGATAGCTTTCTTTCACATTCTCATACCCCAGCAACGGCCCTGTGTGGTATTAACATGAACTTCTTCGTAATGTCGCTCTCACTGAACAAACTTTACTGAGACACACTGCAGTCATTTGCATCGGCCAGGGGGTGAATTAAGGCGGAACTTGCCACCTTCCCGAGTCACACCAGCACCTACCCCTCAAGACATTTCTTACTGCGATACAGCACGAGCTCGCACCCTGCTGACACCCATAACTGCAATCCAAGAATAATTATTTCGAATTTGGTAATTTCATGTTGCTTTGCATTTCTAATAGATGCCATAAATGGTCGATTGACTGCTGAAGCAGCAATTTAAACAGCTGCTCAACAGCAATTATCTCACGTGTTGTTTGCAAATGCCAGAGTGGCAGAAATCAGTGATTTTCACACATATTCTCATGTTCAATGTCACTATCGTAGCGCTGCGAAAAAAATATCCGAAATAAAACGAGAAGGCAGAAAGTGTGCCCTTCTGTTTACGACTGTTGTGAAAGCTAACATTCTTTTCACGGGCGGATGAAGCACACCGAGGCACAGAGCGGTACTTCACCATAACGCAGCACTCGATCGCTACAAGGACATTAAGTGGCGGCTTCACAAGTCCACATGTTTTCAGGGCCAGAGATGTGACAGTGATGTGATTTACACTAAGGGCATCGGCTGCGCTTCTCAACAACGTGGCCTGCGCCATACACCACCATGCCATCGATAAGACACCGCGACATTTCGCTTGCTGTATCTATATGCTTGTAGATGCTGGAGAAAAGCACGCTTATAGAAATTTCAAAACACTCAAGCTAATTCGTATCGCACAGCGGAAACTGCAGATTAGGAGCGAGAACACTCACGCATAGTTTTACTTTTTGACCAGCAATGCGGTCGGCGGCATTAGCGTGGTTATCGGCCATGTGGGAGATTTCTTGGGCCCGTCGATTGGGCTGCGGCTAAAACAAATTCATATTTGCACTCGAAAACACTCGTTGTGGGCGTTAGTTGACCCTCACGAGGTTGTTCGTTCAACAAAGTTCCCACACGAAACAGACATTCCACGCACAGGAGCAGCAGCTGCTGCAGGACAGTTGAGAGCGGAGTCCACAAACTAACGTCACACGCGAGAGGGCACCACTCCAAGATCTCGAGGCCAATTGGTACAGCACTTCCACCCCTGCAATCACTAACATAACAAATCGCTCGCAGTATAATAAACAACAAGATGTGGCCTACAAGTTAACGCACTTTATTTCGCATTAAAGCTGTCCGTCCACTTTTCTTGGGTGCCATCCTGCCATCAAGTTCCAGTCATCCACAATATCATTGAAGCTTTTCAGGTAAGCTAATTCAGCTCCTTCAGCCACAACAGTGTAGATTGATGCAGAACACCTATACAAGCTTCATAGTGCGGCAAAAGGTTGGTTAGTGGCAGTAGCGAAGCCGTTGGCATATTCATAATTGGACGGGTGCACTTTCACGTCAACGGCAGGCATGATCTCAGTATCAATGCAGTCAGAAACAGCTACGTCACCATCTACACGGATGAAGTCACTCACTCTCGAAGATGTTGTCCGGAAACATTGATAAGTCACATCACCTGGCTCGCAAGGAAAGTTTGCGACGGTGCTTCACTTGACATCGCTCCAAGCGCCAGTCAGTTTGTATCGCTACATGCGGGTGAACGTTCCGTTCAACTTCCCAATGAGGTTCTACCAATAACGAGGCCAGGAATGAGTACACAAGTCCAGAAGGGACAAAAGAATACCAAGTAATGGTGACTAGAAGGAGAAGTAATCGGAGAAGTCTCAGCATTGGCGCGCTGGAGGAGCGAGAATTCACCCAGATGTTGTCGGCTCCAAAATACCTTCCTTGCACGCGTGCGCGGGGCCATCGCTTTTTGCTGCAACTACTTCAGGATACCATGCAGACTACAATAAAAGCTGTGAAAACTTGTCTAGCAGCTTGCTGCAAAGCGCGTATTTGCACTTAAAGCCGATGTTTTGAACTTGCTTTCCTGAATATTAACTGCGTGTGCCACTGGCACCCCAAGGCTTTGGAAAATATAGCTGCCATAAGCCTCGCATCAAAACAACGTCCGTTATTATTATCGCATGTGAACTAACAAAAATGGAGATCGAGCACGTCATAGCAGTCATCATGTAGGCAAACTTCCATGTGCCAGCCTCAAAACTTCTCAACAAGCGGTGCACCAGAGTTGCTCAGATTCCTCGAACGTACACGTCATACCAGCCGTGCCCCTCAAGATGTGTTGGGAGAAAATGCGCACCATTGTGCCTATTGTCCCGAAACCTGCTTCAACAGTGGTACGCGCTGAGGAAAGGGGCACTGGAAAAGACGGTGTTCATGTCGCGTCGCACGTTTTTATGCTGAGCTGGTCTCCGAGCGGCAGAAGGCAGATTTTTTTTTTCAAGTGCGCCCGTG